CCAAAAATAGAACCAATCCAAACACAGGAATGGTCAGATGACCTGAATATAGATACCTCTCCAAAGAGGACATACAGATGGCCAATAGACCTAAAAAGTTGTCATTAATCATCAGAGAAATGCAAATTAAAACCGCAATGAGATATCACCTCACACCTGTCAGAATGGCTCTCATCAATAAATCAACAAACCACAAGTGTTGGGAGGGTGTGGAGAAAAGGGAACTCATGTGCGCTGCTGGTGGGAATGCAGACTGGTGCAGGCACCGTGGAAACCAGTATGGAGAGTCCTCAAAAGATGAAAAATGGAACTGCCTTATGACCCAGCGATTCCACTTCTCGATATATATTTGAAGAAACCTAAAACACTAATTCGAAAATATATATGCACCTCTGTGTTCACTGCAGCATTATTTACAATCGCCCAGATACAGGAACAACCCAAGTGCTCATCAATACATGATTAAAGATGTGGTGTATATATATGCAATGGAATATTACTCGGCCATAATAAAGAATGAGATCCTACCATTTACTATAGCAAGGATGGATCTATTGTGCTTAGTGAAATAAGTCAGACAGAGAAAGATAAATGCCATCTGATTTCACTTACATGTGGACTCTAAAACAAACAAACAAACAAATAAACAAACAAAACAGATACAGACTCATAGATACAGAAAACATACTGATGTTTCCCAGAGGGTAGGGGTGTTGGGGGCAGGGTCAAAAAGGTGAAGGGATGAAGAAGTACAAATGGTTAGTGACAAAATAGTCATGATGGAAAGTACAGCACAGAGAATATAGTCAACAATAATAATTATGGATGGTGGGTGCCAGGAGAGTATTGAAGTATCGGGAGGAATCACTTTGTAAATTATATGATTTGACTGTCTAACCACTATGCTGTATACCTAAAACAAATATAAAATAATATTGAACGTCAACTGTAATTGATAAATAAAATTAATAAAAAAGAAAGCATAGAATCTTGTTCACGATCCTGTGATCCAATTCCCGCCCTGCTCTTTCCAACCCCCATGTAATCACCCCTGAATTCCCTCCTTAATTTGAATGAAGAAAAGAAGCTGGAAAACTGTTCTTCTTGGAAGCATTTGAGATCTTGTCACCAGCTTGGCACAAATAAACTCTTGAAAAATTCTCAAAAAAAATGGATTTAATAAAATGTTGTCTATTTATTGCTCTTTTCAAATAATCAGTTTTAGATTTATTGATATATATATGTGTGTATATATATATTAATATGTTTTTATTGATTTTTTTTAGAGAGAGAGGAAGGGAAAGAGAGATAGAAACAACGATGTGAAAGAAAAACATTGAGCAGCTGCCTCCTGCACGCCCCACACTGGGGATGGAGCCCGCAACCCAGGCGTGTGCCCTGACCGGGAATGGAACCGGGACCTCTCAGTCCCTGGGATGATGCTCAATCCACTGAGCCACAAAATATTGATATATTTTTTAAATACTTTATTAGTTTCTGCTTTTATTTAATTTAATTTTATTTTTTGTTAATCCTCACCTGAGGATATTTTTTTCTATTAAGATTTTTTTTTTTTTTTTGTGGTACGTGCCCCTAGCAGGAACCGAACCCGGGACTCTGGTCTGCAGGCCGATGCTCAACCGCTGAGCCAAATTGGCTAGGGCTCTATTAATTTTTAAAGAGAGTGGACAGGAGGGGGAGAAGGAGAGAGAGAGAGAAACACTGATGTGAAAGAGACACATTGATTGGTTGCCTCCCGAGCACACCCCAACTGAGGCTTGGGGATCAAACCTGCAACCTAGTCACGTGCCGTTGATCAGGAATCAAACCCGAGACCTTCCGGGGGCAGGCCCACGCTCTACCCCTGAGCAATGCTGGCCAAGGCTCTTCATGTAGTTTAATAAATGCATTTCTTCATAGTTTGGGGTAATACTGCTATTCCTTTTCCATCTATTAGTTTAATTATTGTAAACTTTAAAAAAATAAATTATTTTGGCTCTGAATTTTCCTTTTGTATTGATTGGTGCAGTTCATAAATTTAAGATATTATTCTCTCACTCTCTTTTCTAAGTAGTTCGTAACTTCAGCTCTGAATTATTTAGAACATTGGCTCAAAACAATTAAGTGAATCGATTTTGGAGGGACTACAGATTTCATGATTACTTTCTAATTTGTGCTATATTGATGTCAGAGAAGTTTTAGAATTTACTGAATTTTTCTTTGTGACTTAAATCTTGGCTAATTTGTGTGAATTATCTGGGTGCTTGAAGATAGTGGTTTTTTTTTTTTTTGCTATTTACTGAGTACAAATTTATTCTATCAAGTGTGTTAATTGTATTACTTAGATGTTTTAGTTGGTCTGACATTTTCTATGTGCTTCATGGAAGTCTCCCAGTGTGTGTGTTCATTTTCTCCTGTGGTTCTATCAGTGTCTGATGGATAGATTTCCAAATACATTGTTACGTGCATGTGTTTTTATGAGTGTTACATATCCTTGACGGATTATGCCTTTTATCAATATTGAACATCTCTCTTGGTCTTGCTTATTGCCTTTCTTAATGCCTTTCACCTGGAATTTTTTTTCTTCTTTATATTTTTATTTTTGTTAATCCTCACCCAAGGATATTATTTCCACTGATTTGTAGAGAGAGTGGAAGGAAGGGCGGGAGGGGGAGAAGGAAGGGGAGAGAAAGAGACATCAATGTGAGAGAGACACATAGATTGGCTGCCTCCTGTATGCACCCCCACTGGGGCTAGGGATCGAACCTGCAAACCAGGTACATGCCCTTCACTGGAAATCAAACCCATGACCCTTCGGTCTAAGGGGTGATGCGTTAAACACTGACCCACACCGGCCAGGGCTGGAATTTTATTTCTCCTGATATTGCTATTACTACATCTACATTTTTGGTAAGCATGGTCTAATATTCCTTCTCTATTCCTTTAGTTGTATTCTCTTTAGGTCATTTTATTTTACTCTACCTAATATAAACAGACTAGAGCTAGATTTCTTAAAACCAACATTAGATATCTATCTTTTAATAGAGAAATTTAATTTTTCATGATCATTAATCTTTGTTCTTATTCTTGCCATCTTATTTTATGTTCTAATTTTCTTTCTTCCTCTTCTTCCCTCCCCTTCCTTCCTTCCTTCCTTCCTTCCTTCCTTCCTTCCTTCCTTCCTTCCTTCCTTCCTTCCTTCCCTCCTTCCTTCCCTCCTTCCTTCCCTCCTTCCTTCCCTCCTTCCTTCCTTCCTTTGCCTCTCTGTCCTCTTGCTGAATTGCTACAGTTTTTTGGCCTATTTTTTCCTCTAGTGGTTTAGAATGTACATATTCCATTTCTGTTTCTTTGTTAGTTGAATCCCATCTGCTTCCTTCCACTTAGGAATCCCTCAATATTTCTGCTTCACCAATAGCACCCTTTCATGTTTTTTTCCTTCCTAGTACTGTTATGGTGTATTCTTTAAAAAAATATCTTCTGTCATCAGGGATCTGGGGAAAGGAGGGGACACAGACCCATGGGCTTGCTGTTATCTGCGTCCAGGTTCCCTGTTTCCACGTGGCGCAGGCCTGAGTGTGTTCCCAGAGCCTGCAGTCTGAGGGAGGTGGGGTGTCGGGCTGACATTTAAGGGCCCTGTCATTTTAAGTGACTGCGTTTGAGCAATAATGATACTTGGGCTTGGGTGTGAAGGCAGTGTTCTCTGGTGGAGGTGGACTCTCCGATAGAGAGCATCTTGGGTGTGAAGGAGGGATTCTCTGGTGGAGGTGGACTCTCCGATAGAGAGCATCTTGGGTGTGAAGGAGGGTTCTATGGGGAGGTGGACTCTCTGATAGAGAGCATCTTGGGTGTGAAGGAGGGAATCTATGGTGGAGGTGGACTCTCGATAGAGAGCATCTTGGGTGTGAAGGAGGGTTCTCTGGTGGAGGTGGACTCTCCGATAGAGAGCATCTTGGGTGTGAAGGAGGGATTCTCTGGTGGAGGTGGACTCTCCGATAGAGAGCATCTTGGGTGTGAAGGGGGGATTCTCTGGTGGAGGTGGACTCTCCGATAGAGAGCATCTTGGGTGTGAAGGGGGGTTCTCTGGTGGAGGTGGACTCTCCAATAGAGAGCATCTTGGGTGTGAAGGGGGGAATCTATGGGGAGGTGGACTCTCCGATAGAGAGCATCTTGGGTGTGAAGGGGGGATTCTCTGGTGGAGGTGGACTCTCCGATAGAGAGCATCTTGGGTGTGAAGGAGGGTTCTATGGGGAGGTGGACTCTCCGATAGAGAGCATCTTGGGTGTGAAGGGGGGAATCTATGGGGGAGGTGGCCTCTCCGGTAGAGCATCCCTGTGTCTCCTGGAAAAGAACCCCAGTGATGGCGAGGGACTTGCTGCCTTTCCCAGTGCCAAAGCAGGGGAGATACACGAGCTAGAATGACTCTGGAAACCATTTGGCCCAGAGTAGGGTCAAGAGTTCTCATGCCCCAGCCCTGGACTAGGTGGGATCCCAGGAATGTGCTAAGAACCAAAGGAGCAGACCAGGGTCGTCAGGAGCCAGGTGGGGAGGGAGAAGCGGGCGCTGGCGTGGCCTCACTCATGGCCTCCCGGGTGCACCCGAGGCGTGGCCTTGCTGGCTCAGCGAGCAACCAGGCACACAGACATGCCACCCACACAGCAGTGGCACCAACACTGGCACCTGGACTTGTTGCCTGAGGAAACCAAGGCTCAGAGAGTTCGGATGTCTTACTCCGGGTCACAGAGCAGGTGTGCTGCAGGCTGGGCCTTGAGCCTGTCCAGCTTCCAGACCAGGGTGCTGTCAGTACTGGACTTTTGGTCCCTGGAGGTGGCCAGCACTGTGCTGGTGTCCAGCGGGCTGCTCGACAGGAGGTTATAAACGGCAGTGGAACGACCCAGCCCCCGTTCTCTCCCTGCACGCCCCTGGAGCGAGCTCCCTCGGCTCTGCACCCAGACTGCCGGCTGACCCGCAGCGGGGCTGCGTGCCGGTCCGCAGACACCCACCTGAAGAGGAGCAGCACAGCCTGGGGGAAGGTCTGAAAGTTGTTGTTCCGGTTGATCTCTGTGGTGTCGTTCAGGGCGATTTTCCCAAACACCTACAGGAGGAGTGGAAAGGGACTCGGTGAACTGGGGGCAGAGAGGGTCCTCGTTCCCACCCATCACTCAGTGGTCTCTTCGGGGTCACAGCTGACCCTAGGACAGCAGAGTCCCCTGATGCAACCTGGCAGGGCTCAGGAGGCGGCACCTGCTGTCCCCTCTCAGTCCACACTGGACGGGTGTAAGGAGGAACGTGCCCATGAGCCCGCAGGAGAGGGCCTGGGGGGCTGAGGCTGAGAGGGGCGGACTCTGCTTCTGTGCAGGGACAGACAGCTCCTTGTCTTCTTTGGGGGGCTGCACACTCTTAAGAATCTTTTCTCTTAAAAAAAAAAAACAACAAAAAACTATGAGGAATAATTAACAAATATAATTGTAGCCCAGCTGGTGTGGCTCAGTGGTTCAGCGCTGACCCATGCACCAAGAGGTCGCCAGTTCGATTCCCGGTCAGGGCACATGCCAGGTTGTGAGCCCGCTCCCCAGTGAGGGGCATGCAGGAGGCAGCCAATCAATGTTCTCTCTCATGGATGTTTCTATCTCTCTCTCCCTCTCCCTTCCTCTCTCTAAAATTAATAAAGAAAAAAATATATAATTGTATATATTTAAAGTACAAGTGGCGCTGATTTGATGTACATACACACAGCAGGGTCATTACTACGATCAAGATAATTAACATCTGTTATCTCACACAGCTACTTTTATTTGGTGTAAGAATACTTATGACCTGTCGGCAATTCCAAGTCGACAATACTGTGCTGTTATTAAGTATCGTCGCCATCAGATGGTCAGAACGTACACTCAGGACCTTCTTTTCTTTGCCATTTCAGCTTCGAGCGCTCCTCCAGATTTAGCTCTGGGGGTGCGGAGTGATATGGAATAAGCAACCCGGAGCTTGGGCCTCCTCACCCTGCTCCCCACACTGCTAAAGCGATGCTTGGCTTAGACACGGCCACCCCTGATCAATGGCAAGGTAGGTCTTCTCATCTCAAGTGTTTGGCCTCTGAACCTCGGGGTCTTTGTGCAACAAGCAAGCGGGGGAATCGGACCTAAGGAGCCGCTGAGAAGCGCCTGGCCAGCGTGCGTGCTGGTCTGGGGTTCTGCTGGAGCCCAGGAAAGGCTGGGGGACCCGGTCTGGGGTAGGACAAGGTGCGGTGGCACCTGTGGGGGCCTGGAAACTGCTGCGTGTCGGGGACAGCCTGCCTCTCTCCCTCCCTCTCTGCTGAATGACACTGGGTTGGGGTCCTTCCCAGGCCCATCAGACCTGGACAAAGGGCGGGGTGCTGTCTGACACCCCCTCCTGCTGTTCCTGAGAACTGCATAGTTTGGGAGTGTTTTTCCGAGAGCAGAACCCAGGCCCGGGAAATGGGGAGAGACGCTCTCTGAGCTGTGGATTCCGCTCCTCCATCCGCTCTGCTACTTACAGGACACCATTCGGGGGACTTCCAATTCCTGTGACCTTTTCGGCCTCAGAAGGTGAAAGAGGAGGGAGAGGGATAGTCAGGGGCAGGGGGGAGGTGGGAGGGAGGAGGGAGCCAGGGGCTGTAAGGTGGCAGCCGGAGGAGCGCGGGGACCCTACCTGCATGCCGATCACCGCGTAGATGAAGAACAGCATCACTATGAGCAGGGCCACGTAGGGCAGGGCCTGGAGGGAGCACAGGACGTGTGTGAGGCGGAGGAGACGCTGGCAGGGTCCCTTCCCAGGACACCGACTCTGCGGCCAGCAGCTCCTGCCTGGCTTGGGGGCATTCCCAAGAGTGCCACGGAAGTTCTGGGCACGGGGGGCGGCCTGAGCAGGGGCACTGACCCTCCACTTTACTTGGTTTTCGTCACTGGAGAAGTGGTACAGCATTGAGACAAGCAGGTTGCAGAGTAAAGAAAACAGTGTGCCGTTACTCAGTAAAAACAATACGAAAGGGGCAGAATGTCCTCCGGTCGACATATGTCTTTGTGCAGCAAAGACAAGGCCGTGCAGGACACACACCACGGCCTCCCGGAGGCACAGGTGGAGGCACGTCACACCCTTTCTCTGCATGTAGCTTCCTGCTGTCCCACTAGCTGTAATAAAAACATTTTCTAAGGAAAACTTAAATGAAAGAAAGATCACGGGCTCCAATCCAGTTCCTGCCACGTGTTGCTATGAGAACGCGGGTGCATTACGTAACCTCTCTGAGCTCACCTGAAAAACGAGAAGAGGAACAACGGCCTCTCGGGGCTTCTGTGGAATTTCAGTGATTTAAGGCTCACAAATGCCCGTGCATCGCCTTGCACAGAGCTGGGTCCCACACATTTTATTCACTCAAGGTATTTATCTGTTCAGCAGCTCAGACAACTGAATTTTCCAGGGCCCGGCCCTTGTCCTGGGGAGAGGTCCCGGGGCTCGGTGCTGGTGATGCGTCAGGAGAGCTACACGTGCCAAGTGCATGCCCAGGAAATGCCCGCCGGGAGCCCGCGCACCACTAGATGGCACTGCGAGACCTTGCGGACACCGTGTCTCTGCTCCAGCTCCAGCCAAGCGCTCCTCCCAGGCACTGGGTCTGTTGCCTCTTCCTTCCCAGGAAGTGGTGGAGGCTGGTGGGTATGCGGGGGGCCTGTGTGGTCACTCACAGCTGTGGGACTCCAGGGTGTACCCTCGCACAGGGGCAGCCCAGTCCTGCTCCAGCAGAATCCTCAGATGTCCAGGGACTAAGCAGGGCTCAGGTGGGGTGGGGGTGGCAGGGAGGGGCCATGGCTCATCACAAGGTGAGGAGTCAGCCTGGGCCTGGAGGGAGGAGGACCTGCTACGAGGGCAGCCAGGCTGGAGCCCTCTCTGCCGGGGCTCAGATGAGGTCCCAGGGCAGGAGGCTGTCTGCAGAGGTGTGTATGCCTTTGGGGTGGGGTTCCAAAGACGGCAGCACCCCCACCTCGGGCTGTAACTTCAGTTATGGCACAGCTGGGTCAGGGGCCCACTCCACGCCCGGCCCTGGGCCCCGCTGGGCCAGGGCAGCGGACACGGGAGGAACCCTTCTGTGCCGGAGCGGCGCCTTGGGAAGCCTGCAAGCGGACCTTCCCCGGGCAGGAGAAGCCGCCTTCGGGGTCAGTCAGAAAAGCTGGGGTCACATGGAGGGTCCCTGCCGACTCACCTTCAGGGAGCCCAGTGACCTGACAGCTTTGCTTCTCCCTAACTCCAGGCTAACATAACACTTCTCAGGGGCGGCCAGAGGCCAGCCTCCCTCTGCTGTCACAGGTGGAAGACGATGGCTGAGCGGAGAGAACGCACCCTACGCTGGCCAACCCTGCTCACTCCACCAGGGCCCTGGTGTTTGGCTAAGTCCACGAGTAAGTAGTCCCTGCGGCAATGCCAGAGCCGGCCGGGTCGTGGCTTTCCAATCTGTCCCACCACAGCACCCCTGGGTGCAACGATCTTACAGAAAATACACACGAGAGAAGAAAGCAGAGCCGGGCAGCCCCCCACCTGCGCTCGCAGCCTTCCCCATCGGAGTTTGGGGGAATCTGGGGACCCAGAAGCATGTTTCTGAAAACTGCCGACTGAGTCCAGCCGGTTCATTTCAGAGGGGAGGCTGCTTCCTCCAGGGGTGAGGGCTGCTCCTTCCCTTACTGTGTCACCCCCAGCTCAGGGAGCGCGGCGGGAGCTGGGGGTGCAGCCCTGCGGCCGGGGGGGGGGGGGAGGAGGCTCTCCCCCTCTGTCAGCGCTCCGGGGGAGGTGACTACCTGGAAGGACTTGATGAAGGTCCACAGCAGGGTCCGGATGCCCTCCCCTCGGCTCAGCAGCTTGACCAGGCGCATGACCCGGAAGAGGCGGAAGAAGGTGATGGAGATGCGGGAGTTCTCCTCCGTGGTCTGGAATCCATTGGCGACAGGAGTGGCAGTTAACACAGCGACAGGGGCGGGCGGGGCGAGAGCGGGTGGGCCCCGCCCCGACAGCCCAGGGCCGGGCTGGGTGCCCGGGTTCTCTCCCGGGCCACAGATGGAGAGCCAGCGCCCACCTTTCCAGTGCAGAGCCCGTGGCCCGTTTCCTACTGTCTCCATGCCCCCTTCTTCCCTGTTCTCTTAAGCTCCTGGTTGGGCAACAGAAGGTTCCATGAGGAACTTCCATGTGCCCTGAACTCCAGGCCGGGAGCCTCTGAGGCTGTGCAGGCCGCGTGCCCAGAGAGAAGCCCCAGCCTCCCTCCTGCCTGGCTGAGGGTCCTGCATCCAGAGGGGACCAGGCCTCTGCCAGGGGGCTGTGTGGGTGGTGGCCCCCATCCTGGCCTCTGGGATGACTGCACCCGGATCCTGATGGGTGGGGCGGGCTGCCCACGAAGGATCATGTTTGCTGGCTACTCGGGGCTCCAGACCTCTGCCGTGCCAGCTCCTGCTGCCTCAGCCTCTGCCCACAGGGCTCCAGGGAGGAGGGAAGGGGTCAGGGGAGCACTGGGCAGCGGCTGGTTTGCAGCCCTCACCTTCCCTCGGGCTTGGAGCTGGCCCTCTCTCTGCCCCGGGGCCTCTAGCGGGCACCTCCGCTCCAGCTGCGTGAGACGCAGGGGAGGTGGGCAAGGCGGTCAGCTGGAGTGAGAGGACCAAGGGGTCCTGCTCAGGCAGGTGGTCTCCTCAAGGGAGTCCTGGGGGTGAGGGCAAGGGCCAGGGGAAGAAGGATGGAGTCCAGGTCACAGCACACAGAAGGCCTGCAGGCTCAGGGGTCATCTGGGCACGTTGGACCTGGAGGGTCCCGGGGCATGGGCACGTGCCGGGCCAGGGTTTGGGGGGCAGGAAAGACTCCCCTGTCACTGTCTGCCTCCAGACCTAAGGAAAACAAGGACTGATCCCCTCGACCCTCCTCCCGCCACACGGACCCACAGCCACCTGCCGCCCCCAGAGCCAGTGCAGTGCACCCAGCCCTGCGCACCGGGAGAGAGGGGACCTTTGGGCTTCCTGTTACTGCTCCATCGCTGCCTCCCTCTGGCTCCTCGGGGACCGGCGTAGGCCCTCTGCACTCTCTATTCCCATCTCTGGCTTCGTTTTCATCATTTTCAGGTCGGAGCCTCCCGACACTACCCATCCCCCAAATCCCACTAGCATGAAAACCCTGGAGGGCTTCCAGGCGGTCACTGAGGTGGCTGGCGCTCCAGAGGCACTCATCCCACTCCTGTTCGGGACGGGAGATCCATGGGAGGTGGCAGGATTCACAGGAGGCTTTTCCTGGGGGCACATCCCACACCTCCCTGGGAGGGCGCACAGAGGCCAGCAGGGGGCGTCTCTCTAGTTCTAGACTCTCCAGATGGGGCGTGACTACGGCATTCCTTCTGCACCCAAACCAGAGCCGGCTCTGTCCTCAGAGGGCTCTGCTGCCCCCAGGCAGGGCAGACCTGTGGGTGCGGGGCCTGCTCCGTGGGGAAGGGGTGGAGAGGGGGGGCAGGCAGCCGGCCTCGCCTTGCCTGAGCCCTGCTCTGCGTGGACTGGGAGGGCTCTGACGCCGTCAGTCTCTGCATCCCTATTGCATCTACTTGAGATTCTACTTCCTCTCCTGGAGAAATGGGGAGCCCCAGAGGAGGACGCAGCGGAGGCTCAGGGCTTTATCTCGGCTGCCAGCCCCACCACACTCCGCAAGGAGGCGAAGGGAGAGCGGCAGGGGACGTCCGCTGTGGGTGTCAGGAGTCTGAGCAGTTGTGCCACAGGGGCATCTGGGTCTCGTGAGTTAAAAAATAAAAACCATTGTGGGCTCAGAACCGCCCCGGCGGCGGCAGCTTCCTGATGCGCCCGAAGGGGAATAAACACTCCACGCGGACACAAAAATCTCCTCTACTCAACCAAATAACAGCGCAGTGAAGAATCAGGTCCCGGTGGCCGTCCGCAAAGGGGGAGCAGCCCCTCCCTCGGCAGCCCTCCGCCCAGCCTGGGGTGGGCACGGCAGGGGACACCGCCACCCCACTTGTCTGCTGACTCTCGGGGCTCAGGGAATCATCCCACCCACGAAATGTGTGATGCCAGCCTTTTGGGGAAGGCTGTTCCAAGGACATCTCAAGGTCACGCCAAGTGGCATCTCTATCACTTTGGCCAGGGCAAATCACAGACTCCCACGTGAAGTCATAGTGGTCCAACCACACAGTCTCCTGCTTGCAGCCTGCTGCAGAAAGTGAGTATAGCCTAAATTTAACGGACTCTGGAATTTAGGAAAATTCACAGGTAACATTGTTGGGGTGGCTGGAAATGCAACCACACTCTCAGTAACAAATCCCTGCTTAAACCTTTGACGACGGCCTCACACTCAGAGCGAAAGCAGGCCAGTCCTCACAGACGCCTGATCAAGGGAGCAAGTAACCAGCTGCCTTTCCGCCTCCTGCTAGGTCATCCCCCTCTCCCCTCTTTCCCCCAGGCCTCACCACGGCTCTCAGAGGGGCCCTTGCAATTTCCCACATCAGGTTAAGGTCAGAGACTTCGCCAGTGGAGTGCTCAGGGTGTTTAACAGGAAACTGCCCTTGGGTCCAGTTCTCTCCCAGTGGCTCACTAGACAGTCACGATCACAGTGAATTATCATCCAGAGGAAGTTCAGGCAGGGAAGGACACCGTTACACAGACAGCATGTCACAGCCCACACGAGAGCAGGCAGGCAAGGTGCAGGACGGACAGGTGGCCGCATGCAGCAGGAGCCAGGCTGGGCTCCGGGAGACTCTGCGGGGTGAGTGGGTAGGAGCGGGGATGTTAGAAGAGTCACGGAAGCTCAGAGCATGGATTGGAGGGTCGGTCTTACCATTAAGGAAGAGCATTGGCTATGTTCAGCTGGCTTTAAAGAAAGGCAGATAGAGAGAAGCTGTAATGAGTCTCCAACGAAGATGTCGGTATTCTAGGTCTCGGCTAACACAGGAGCAGCACAGGGGCAGGGAGGGCAACGGGGGACAAGTGACAGAGGGACGAATCACAGGCCTGGCAGGTTCTGCATCATGAGTGTGGGTTCTGCATAGCTGGGTCTCACGCCTACCAACCACCCATCTCCCGCCACGTGCTGAACAATCCACACCCGTTCGCAAGGAGATCTTCGGGGCTTGGTGGATGGAGGTCTGTGTTTTAAGATCTGCCGTGTGATCGAAGAGAACCTCTCAGGTCTTGCCCTTGGTCTGCTCTAGCTTGACCCCTGCATAGCCGCTGAAGGCGCACAGGCAATGCCCCTCAGGTTTGGGGGAAGACTGGGCTTTCATTCTCACTGTGGACAGTCTAAAGAGGTGGCCCTCAGCTCTGTCACAGGGGTTGGTCCTCAAGCGGAGGCCCAGGTGGGAGGGGGTCCTGCGAAGCTACTAGGCTGCAGGTGTGGAGAACCTTGGCCATCGCATGAAAAATGAGTGTGGAGTTGCTTTTTAAATTTGAAAGCCCCACACACAATTTAAGATATGATTATTAACACCCCAAGAAGCTGTTCTCAGGGTCTGACGGCTGAGATCATTTGGGGCAGGTGCTACGGAAAATGGCCACAGGTGAGGTTCATCGTGGCCCTCGGCCTCAGGTCCTCGAGCCTGTCTCTGGAAGACGCCCCCACTCTTTGGGCCCCAGAACACAGGCCTAAGCCCCTGTCTGACCCTGACCTTCTGAGCTGTTCCCTCATCCCAGAAGGTCATGACTTTGCTTTTACCCTCCACTTTCAGATGGTTGCTCTCGTGTGTCTGGTTTTAAGGTACCAAGAGAGGTTGCAATGGAGTTTCTGAAGGATTAAAATGTGCACAACTAGACATTTGCTTGCAGACCTAAAATATCCCTGTGGCAACAGATTTCTCAGCAAGTTCCTTTTTTTCCCCATAGCAAATTGGTAGGATGTCCTTTGGGGGGGGAAGGGGAGGAGGCAGGGGAGAAGAGGAAGGGACGCTCCAGCCACTCACGGAGCACAGTCCTGCGCAGTCTCTGCCTCAGGGCAGTCCCCACGCGGAGGACAGCTCACTAGGGTTTGACTAGCGGGCTGGGGTAAAACACGGACACACACTCACACACACACACACGCACACGGAGGAATTTCAGGATGGCCGAGTGCTGTGTTCCCATGGTAATGGCTACACGCGATGCCTAGGCATGAGGTAGAGTTCCCAGCAGGCTTGGATTCCCCCTAAAAACTCTGCTAAGAGGCCTGGGCAAACCCTTGAAGGTCTTCTGGGTCAACCCCATCCCACGGAGGCCCGGAAGGAACACCCTTTAGAGAACTCACCTGAGTCACGGTCTAACTGAGTAACCCCTAGCCACTTAGAAGTTTAAACTATGTGTTTTATTTTATTTTACTTCTTAAACATCCCGAATCCTTCATTTGGGATTTCTAAATGTCTTAACTGTCTTTTTGCTTGCGGATGTTTAGCCTTTTATAGCGCCTATTTAAGATCTCATCTATTTAAGTCATATTTTAGTTCAGAATGTAGCTTTAGGACTGTTCTAATCACCTGGATTGTACCTTTGGATTCATGTAAGAACCTCCTGAGACGTCTCCGTAACGGGAGACAGGACGCGGTCAGCAGAAGTGACGGCAGCAGGGAGGGGAGGACGGGGGCTGGGGTCCTGTGTTGGGTCCCCAGCCCAGGTAATGGCAGTGCTCCTGAGACTGTCACTGTGGGAGGATCAGGAGACTCGCAGATTAAACGTTTCTCAGGGTTTAAGCCATACTTCTCAGAGGGCACTTTTGTCTCTCTTTTTTTCTTTTTTTCCTCAGTCCCTCCACCTCCAACCTAGCCTCCCAGCCATCGCCCCTGCCCCGACAGCGACCAGCCTGCTCTCTGTCTGAGTCTGTGACTATTCTGCTTATTAGTTCATTAGATTCCACATCTGAGTGAAACCATATGGTCCTTGTCTTTCTCTGATGGCTTATTTCACTTAGCATCATGCTTCCCAGGCCCATCCATGCTGTCCCAAGGGGTAAGAGTTCCTCCTTTTTTACAGCCGAGTAGTATTCCACTGTGTAAATGTACCACGGCTTTTTTATCCACTTGTCTACTGTGGGCACTTGGGTCAGAGGGCACTTTTGACTTGTTGGGGCAGTGTTGCTGGTCAGCCTCTCCCACAAGCCTGTTCTGTGTGAGGAGCTATGTTCACAAAATCCGTGGTCTTAAAAAGAACTGACCGCTCAATAAAATCAGGAAGCAGTCACGGGATCATTTCTAAGTGGAGCCAAAAGGAAGAAGCCTAACACAGCCCTTGCTCTCGAGGACCCACGGTTCCCACACGGTCAGCCCCCGAGGACATTCCTTATGACCTGGTGCAGTTGTTCATCTCTGGTCCCCTTGCCCAGCTGCAGATGGCACCCCCTGGTGAGCTAGACGGGGGGACAGGACCAGTTGGACGAGGCCACCTGCACGCTCAGCCTGGAGATGGTTTGTGTTGTTCGCCACTCTCTGTGACTCCCTAGTTCGTCTTGAAAAACGACCTGGCATGAGTTCTACTTTTGGAGCTGAACTTGGAATTAGCTGGTGGCCTGGAGTACTTGTGCACCCGTCTCTGACCCTTTTCCGGATTTGCTCCCGTTCCCCAAGTTAGCTGATAGTTTCTCCATCCACAGTCTTCCTGGGGAAAAGGGTGGTAGGCCTCCCTGGAGACGTGTGCCCCCAGAACCTGGGGACCCTCCCTGCTCTCCCGTCCCCAGGAGCCCACAGAGCTGCCTGCCTCCCAAACATTCCCGCCTTAATATTGCACTGTGTCCACGGAGGATCCGTGCGGGCTAAATGGTTGAGCTGATTCCTTCATCATTGTTTTCTAATGATCTGGTAACTTTCAAGGGGTTAAAGGTATTGGGCCAATTAGCTTAATTGGTGCATGCAATTTGTAAAAATGAAATAAGGTGATAACGTGGGAGGCAGAGGTGGGACACGTTCGGAAACGGTCCCGGCTAGCGGTTCCAGCTAACGGGGAGGGCAGATAGAGAGGAGAAGCCAATGAACGCACTGCAGCATCCTCATGCGGACTAGCTTGGTTTGGTACAACTGGCAGGGACGATGGAGAGCCACTGGGCAGCTAGAGAGAGAGCCTCCGGTGACTCAGGTCAGCAGTGCGGCCTCGGTGGGCTCGGAACACACTGTTCTGCTCACTGTGACACTACCACTGGTCCACAAGGAGGGTGCTCGGGCAAAGTCAGGGAATACAGGCGCTGGCCGAGAGAGTCTTCTCCCAGATGGAGGGACTTCCCAGGAATGTGACAATCAGAGGAACGTGTTTCCCAGTTCACATTACCTGTGTCCCCGGAGATCTAAAAGTTGTTGAAAATAGCTCTTCCCCATGTGAAAAGGGACTTTCTCCCTCCTCCTGCTCTTCCTTTTGCACAGCTAGGAGGTGACGATTACTAGGGACTCAGGGGTTAGGGAGTAGATAGATACCTAGACTGGACTATCTAACCAAGTTGTCTTCCAGAATATTCTCATAAGACAGCTGCACCCTCCTGGACACGTGGACTGAGAGGTGCGGACTCCCTCGGACTCCCTGCGGAGAAGCCAGCTCTGGGCTGAGTCAGAAACAGGACCCACCGACGGGCTGCCCAGCCCCAACGGCGGTCACGGAGGCCTCGGCTGTGTGTCCCGGCCACTGAAATTCCTCGTGCCTCTGAAAATGGACGCAAAGTGACGTCATGGGAGTATGTGTCTTTCACTGGCTACCCTGCTGAGGAACCTTGCTTCTTCTAAAAAATCTTTTGTCTAAAACTTAGGAAGTGGATGTGAAGTGAATTCCATCCCGAACTCCTGCGGGTGAGGTTCCAGCGGGCTCTGCCTCCACCCCACCCGCCCGGCTCTGCGTCTCTGCTCCTGTCTCTGCTCCCGTCCCTACTTGAGGACTGGAGGGCGAGCTCAGCTCTGAGAGCACCAGGGATGGTGGAAGGCTGGGCAGCTGGGCTTTGTTGGTGAGACTCCAGTTAATCTAGGGTGGGAGACAATTATCAGGCTGGTACACACAGACAGAATGGGGAATGGCAGGAGCCAGGGGCTTCTGGAAACATTTGACACCACCTTCATGGCCTGGAGGCCAGCAAGTGTCAGTTAATGGGGGGGGGGGGGGCATTATCCTTTTACCTCCTCTTTCAAGCAGGAGAAGTGCACACCTAGGAAATAGCGTGGCCGACAGATGGGAAGGAATCAGGCGATGCCGCACCTCGGCACCACCAGAGCTGGCCACGGGAAAGGCATTTTCAGGAAGCCAAAATAAAGTACGTTTTAAACTGCAACCTTCCGAAGTTGAATTGAGAGCTTCCTTGCTAAGGGAGATGCAGAGTTTAAATAACCACAAGTCAGCTGGGGTATACCGAAGCCGAGGGTAGATGTCAATGACTCTTAGATATAAGGGCGAATGAAGGAGAGATGGGCAGCTGACATTTCCACGTGGGTCTGGAATGAACGGAGAGATGGAAGTGGATCTGTGGAGGAGGAGAGGCAAGAAGAGGGAGATGGGGGAGTTGTGAGGGAGGCAAAACCACTGGATAGAGAAGGGCAGGTAAGCCCAAAGATGACAAGGTGGAGAGTGGAATGAGCAACAGCCCCTCCCCCCACGCCCACCCTCTTGAAAATTCCCTGGCTGGCCTCTGTTTCTCCAAGGAAACATTCTAGCCCGAAAGAGATGAGCCCTCTTGAATCTTTGTGGCTACCGGCGCCCCGAGGAAACGCCCCTCCGGAACATCCCCCGAGGGGAACTTCGGCCCCAAGGGGACTGTTGGGAGCTACAGAGCGTGGGTGTTGACAGACCCTTGCTCCTCATCTGTGTGTGCTCAATCGGGGGCATGGACAGTGGCGGTCCGCCCGCCGTCTTAACGGCCTGGTGGCCAGCTCAGGTGGCTGGAAG